ATAGGAACGGGCTCATGGAGAGCAGCACGGAGGAGCCAGGCGCGGGGAAGGTGGGCAGGGGGGCGGGTGACAGTGTGGGGGGGTGCTAAGTATGGTCTCAGCGCAGCTGCTCCCCACGTTCCCAGCAAAGGCCCTGGGAGGCCCTGGTGTGGAGGGCCCCTGCCAGCGCATCTCTGCCACGGCATTCAGGCCAAGGGCGGCCACCCCCGGAACCCAGAGACCAGAGGTGGGGAGAGGGCACCGGCTGGAGTGGGCCTCACGACAAGGCCAGTTGCTAGGACACGGGATCTTTCCGAGGGGCCCATAGTAACCCTCGGAGAACACTTTGTGCCTCATTCATTTATTCATTAATTCGCTTAATCCACAAACACCTCATGGGCAGGGCTGCAGGTCGCCTGCTAAGGGCACTTCTGGCCCTGCTGAGGTCAGACACACGTGCAAAGTCCATCAGCACCAGCCGGGGAGGTGGTTGAGGTGGGTGGTGATGGCGGGTGTGGCCGGGAGGAGGCCACAGGCTCGCTGGATTCCAGGCTCCCGGCTGGGACCCTCGGGTGGGCGGGAGCTGGGAGGGCCTGGCAGGCGGGGGTGCGGGAAGGCTTCTGAGGAGGGTGGAGAGAGGAGCAAACACGCACCCAGCCCTGCTTGGGCACAGGCAGTGCCTCCCTTTGCCAGCGACCCCCAATGCCTGGTAGCAGCTCACCGAAGACATTTTTTGAATATAATTGAATGAAGATGCTAATGGTTTCTTACGAATAAGAGAATAAATATAGTACGGGAACACCTTAAATTCCTCGAGAGCTGTGTGTTTTCACATCCTTAAATTTGACAGTGCGGCAGGCCGAGCCACGATGCAAGCCTTCCTTTTCATAGACCTAGAGAGGTGACGATTCCACCAGCGTCACCCCTAAAACTTCTAAGCTGGGGTCAGGGTGGGGGGTCCTTCTTTCAGGGGCACATGATTTAAGAAGATGACCTTCTGTGGTTAGAGTCCTGTCTCCACTTGGCTGGTCATTCTGAAGGGCTCAGCTAGCTGGGTCCTCCTGGGAAGGCGGGCAGGGGTCACTGCAGGGGGAGGTGGGGGTGGCCTGTTGGCACAAGTCTGAGCAAGATGTGTTTGTGGGTCAACCCTGGGATGAGAAGCGGAGACGTGGGTTCCCTGGACTTTTTGCCAGGGTAAGGGAGGCTGTGGAACATTCAAGAATAGTTCAGAGGGATTTATATCCGACTGGCTGGAAGTTGGTAACATTCTTTCCCCAGCCTAACTCTGCCCCAGCCACGAGGACCTACCATCCCGCGCATGCGCATGTGCGTGCGCAGGCACGAAGGTCCTCCCGCAATGCCACACCTGGAGAACCCCCATGCATCCTTGCACCCCAGCCTGAGGGTCCCCCTCCGGAAGTGCTTGGGCTCCCTCCCCAGCGTGCCCAGTTCGCCCTCTGCTTACCTCTGCAGGGCACCACACTTCTGCCTCCCAGAGGTCTCTAAGCATCATGTCTCCCCTTTGAACGCTGGGAGGCGAGGGACCACCCTGGATCTGTCATTGCACACCCTGCCTCCTCCCCAGCACAGCCCCAGGCACACAGTAGGAGCTCAGGCTACGCTGAGTGGATGAAAGACACATTTAAAGAGGTGAGCCTCCGTTTTGCGGAAAATTAACTTCTGGGAATTTCTGATCAATGAAGACTTACAGTACTTTTTGCCAGAGCCTGCATTGACAGGCTGGGCCCGATTCCCTCCCTCTTGGGTGGGGGGTGAGTGTACCTACGAGGTGTGGGGGCGGGGCGGGAGCCTTCATTAACCCTTCCGGAGACCCGCAGAACGTCCTACGCGCCCAGCATGACTCAGTGGCGCCCTTTAAGGGGATAATTTGATTGATGACGTGGACAATTAGACTTGTGAACTTGACATCCCTGTCGATTCCAATGGTGAGAAAGGAAGCGAGAGAATCTATTTTTGAAGCCTACCGTCGATGACGACGAATCATTTCTGCTTGGGGGAGAGGTGCGACCCCGCCCAAGTCA